GTGGCTTTCAAAATGTGTCTCTCGCCCTAGCACGGTGCACATTCGTTTCAAGAAAAATGCAAGGGTTTCACTGATTGAGGGCGGTTCCTTTTCAAAATGTGTCTCTCGCCTTAGCGCCGCGCACATTCGTTTGCAACATTGTTCAACGGTTTCACGGATTCCCATCATCAACGTACCAGAAATTGTGTTTCGGAAGGATGCAGGATTATGCGGGCACAACAGTTACGTTGATTCTCTGTGTTGAAATCATCAGAACGGCGCTCTGGCACGATTCAGGATCGTCAAGACGCAACCGTCAGGTTAATCCGTGGCGTTGGAATCCCGAGAACAATGTTTTGGTCTTCAAACGGGTGTCTTCCAACAAGGCACTTCCCTCAGTGGAAATGAACCGTTGTAAGGGGCCTATGAAGAGGAAACGTGGAGGGAGGGTGCACTCCAACGTCGTTGATGACTCTTGGGTTTCCACTCGTCATCCTCCTCCTCCTCCTCCTCAACCTCCTGCTTCCCCTCCTCCTCTTCCTCCTCCTCCTCTTCCTCCTCCTCCTCCTCCTCCTCCCCTTCTTCCTCCTCCTCATTCTCCTCATCCCTCCTCCTCCTCCTCCTCCTCTCCTCCTCCCTCCTCCTCCTCCTCCTCCTCCCTTCTCCTACTCCTCCTCCTCCTCTCCTCCTCCTTTTTCCTCTTCCTCAGCAGCAGCAGCAGCATCATCATCATCCTCCTCCTCCTCCTCATCCTCCTCGCCATCATCATCAGCATCATCGTCATCATCATAATCATCATCATCATCATCATCATCATCATCATCATCATCAATCATCATCATCATCATCATCATCATCATCATCATCATCATCATCATCATCAACATCAACATCAACATCAACATCAACATCAACATCATCATCATCATCATCAGCAGCATCATCGTCATCGTCATCAGCATCATCATCATCATCAGCATCATCAGCATCGTCATCATCGACATCAGCATCAGCATCATCATCAACATCAGCATCAGAACAGCATCGACAGTATAGCCATCATCAACCAGATCAGCATCATCATCATCATCATCAACAACATCAGTATCATCATCAGCAGCATCATCAGCAGCAGCAACCTCATCATCACCATAATCATCGCAATCATCATCATCATCAGCATCATCATCATCATCATCATCATCATCATCATCATCATCGTCGTCGTCGTCGTCGTCGTCATCATAAGCAGCCGTATCATCATCATCATCAGCGTAATCAGCATCATCAGCAGCGTCATTGGCAGCATCTTCAGCCGCGTCATCCTCATCATCAGCATCATTATCAGCAGCATCGTCATAATCATATGTATCATCGGCATCGCCATCATCAGCATCATCATCATCACCATCATCGTCAGCATCAGCATCATCGTCATCATCAGCATCGTCATCATCATCGTCATCATGATCATCAACATCAGCAGCATCAGCATCAGCATCATCATCTTCATCATCATCAGCATCATCAGAATCCCCATCAGCACCAGCAGCAGCATCATCATCATAATCACCATCATCGTCACCAGCATTATAAGCATGATCGTCATCATCAGCAGCATCAGCAGTATCATCAGCCTCATCATCATCACCATCAGCAACAGCATCATCATCCTCACCTCCTTCGTATTCAGTGTCGTACTCATCTTCACCATCCACCCTCCTTTTCCTCCACTTCCTCATCCCCATCCTCCTCCTCTGCCATCCTCCCTCCTTCTCTTCGTCCTCCTCTGCTCCACTCCCATCCCCTTTGCCGCCGCCTCCTCCCTCCTCATCCTCCTCCTCATCATCACCTCCTTGCATCAGCATCATTATTACTATCATCATTATCATCATCATCATTAGCATCATCATCATCATCATCAGCACCAGCATCATCATCATCATCAGCAGCAGCATCAACATCAACATCAACATCAACATCAACATCATCATCATCATCATCATCATCATCATCATCATCATCATCATCAGCATCATCGTCATTATCGTCGTGCCCCTCCTCATCATCAGCCTCCTCCCTCCTCACCTGTCTCCTCCTCATCAGCATCATCATCAGCATCATCCTCATCCTCATCCTCATCATCATCATCATCATCATCATCATCACCACCACCATCACCATCACCAACATCATCATCAGCATCATCATAATCATCACCCGCATCGTCATCATCGTCATCATCATCATCATTATTGAAAACATCATCATAAGCATCATCACTATCACCATCTTCATCATCAGCAGCATCATCAGCAGCATCATTTGGGGGCCACATGCGAACCCTACCCCTACCCCCCACGATTTCTGAGAGGGAGGGTGGGGTTCACTTCGCTCGGGAGCTCCCGCACGAAGTGAACCCCACCCTCCCCCTCAGAAATCGTGGGGGGTAGGGGTAGGGTTCGCATGCGGCCCCCTGATCATCATCATCATCCGCCGCGGCCTCCCCGTGGCAGATCGTAGCAGCATTCATGCTGGCTTTCCCAGACCCCTCAGGCAGGTGAGCAGGTAGTTCTGGCATTGCTGAGCTGTTCTGCTATGATGGCCTGATGGCCTAGGTGCTGTCAGGCTGGGCGGCGCGGCGTGGAGGAGGAGGAGGAGGAAAAGGAGGAGGAGGAGGAGGAGGAGGTGGAGGAGGCCTGGCGGCGCGGCGTGGAGGAAGGAGGGGGAGGTCGCGCTCGCGCTGCTCCCTTGCTGCCCCTCAGCTGCTGCTCCTCCATGGCCCAGTCCCTGGCAGCCTTGCTCTGATGGCCTAGGTGCTGTCAGGCTTCGGTGGCCGGCCATAACCACACAGCTCTCACACAGGCAGGTGCCTGCGGGTGCAGGCTGGGCTGCAGCGCATCCGGACGGTAATCAATTCGTCTATCACCGAGCCTCGAAAGCATCGAAGCGCGGCCGATGCATTAATGGCGGATTGGTCTAGGAAGCGATGCAGCCGACCGTCTTGCCAAGCAGACCCTGCTCGAGTATCCATAACCCTCCGCTGATGAGGACGCGGTGATGGATTTGATCTTGGTCAGGTGCAGGGCGGTTGCGAGGGTCATTGCAACCACTTTGCCGCTTTCCCCTAAAGCGGAGATGAAGCGGAACCCCCGCCCACCTAAGCCCAGACAGTTCGCATGTTTGAACAGGTGGCACCAGCGGGTGTCTGCTGGGAAAAGGGGCTTTTTCGATACACACAACGCCTTCCGCTGAGTTACACTGGGGAACCGGCCCTGCTAGGATGCAAGGGCCTCAAAGACGTGCTAAAGAAACTAGCAGGGGGTGGGACGCAATTTCGGCACCGCCTCTCTGTGGCCACGAATGATCAGAGTAGAGGAGGAGGAGGAGGAGGAGGAGGAGGAGGAGAAGGAGGAGGAATGATCAGAGTAGACCGCTTGTCTTCTGCGTGCGCTGCGGGGCTGAAGCGCGCCTGGGAGAGGTGCAACAACCTGCACGAGCCAAGTCCTCGTGCAGAGGGCCACCGCGGCCACTCCGCCCTGCAGCGAGTCAGAGGCAGGGAATGCATCCCCGCTGCGAGTCGCGCGGCAGTTTTGGGCCGTCTCCGCGTAGCGATGCTACGGCTATGATTTCCCTAGCTGCATCAGGTGAGCGTTTCTTTACTCGGCGTTTCGACATTGGGCGGAAGAGGGGGGGGGGAAGGGGGGGTCTGGCTCCAGACCTCTGCTTGATGCGACTGTTTGCAACAGGGCGTCCATTATGGGGGAGGCTCCACCTGCTCAAAACAGGCACCAAAAACCGCCAAGATCTACTCTTGGGGGGGGGGAGGGCGGGGGTGCGAGGGCCCGCGCCGATCGGCAGAACAACGAATAAAAAACTACCACCTGGCCGCATTAGCCGATGCCCCGCTCCCCCCCGAGCCGCCCGGCCACTCATCACCAGTGACTGGGCGAAGGCCCTGAGAGAGCTCAGGTGCCCTCCTCGGGAGCAGGCAGACGCAGAGAGTCACGCCTGCTAAGCCACATGAGGTGTTTGACATGACTGCTTACACTTGTGAGCTCTTGTGTTCACGCTCTGCCTCAAAGGGCCACCTGAGAAAACCAGTACTGATCCTCCTCCTCCTCCTCCTCCGCCTCCTTCTCCTCCTTCTCCTCTCGCTCAGTTCCTCGATTGACGAGTTTACCCTGGCAAATTGCTACCTACCTAGGCTCTGCCTAGAAGGGTTCTTACTCTCTGGGTTTAAAGGGGCCGGGCAGTGGAAAGCGCCCTGGGCGGTTCCCCCAGTATCCGCCCCGCGGTTCCCCCAGTTACGTCCCCTTAGCTTAGCGCTGCTTATCTCATCTTAGCTTAGCTTTTGTTATCTTAGCTTAGCTTAGCCTCATATTAGTGCAGGTTTATCTTAGCTTAGCTTACCTTCAGATTAGCTTCGCTGAGCGTTAGCATAGCAGAGCACAGCATAGCATAGCATAGCGTAGCATAGCATAGCGCAAGACGGCATTTCATAGCATAGCCCAGCATAGCATAGCATAGCGCAGCATAGCATAGCATAGGTGTAATTCCCTACCTAGGCTATGCCTAGAAGGTTAACTTAGCTTAGCTTAGCATAGCGCAGCGCTGCATTAGCATAGCATAGCATAGCATAACATAGCCAAGCATAGCATAGTATAGTATAGCGCAGTATAGTATAGCATAGTATAGCACGGTATCGCATAGCATAGCATAGCATTGCATAGCATAGCCTAGCATAGCATAGCATAGCACAACGCAGCTTAGCATACTATGTTATAGCATAGCATAGCATATCACAGCGCAGCATGATATAGCATAGCTTAGCATGGCATAGCATAGCATCGTATAGCGCAGCATAGCATAGCATGGCATAGCATAGCATAGCGCAGCATAGCATGGCATAGCATAGCATAGCATAGCATAGCAACTAATGCTGCTTTCCTAGGGGTTCCAACTTCTAGGTCGGGTCGCACTGGGGTAATTTGGACACTTTCCCTCCCTCCCCGGGCGGCCTGGCATGGCGCCGTAGGCGGGCGTGAACGGCTGCGCGCTGCCCGGCGCCGGGCTGAAGCCGGCGGGGGTCAGCGGCATGCCTGCGGCCGCTCCACTCGAGCGGAGCGAAGGCAAACAAAACTAACTAATCCACCGAGCACCAAGAACCAACCCTCCACGGCCCTTTCAATTCGCCGTGTTGTTTGTTCATTCACTCGTGCTTGGGAAGAGGAGGTGCGCTCCCAGACGTCAAACTTCTTGACAGAACCCGGCTTGGGGGCTTCGCCGTTGAATCAGGGCGGCGTGGGTCGCCAAATCCACATTCCAGGGTACCTTTTTCAGGCACCTGGGACTGCGAAAACAACTCAGGGTGAAAACCCAGCCCTGAGGAAAGGCTCGCTTCCGGGAACCATGTTTCACAAGACATCGGACGGCCGGGCACCGACTGGAGCTCCACTGGAAAGGCAGTCGCTGCGAGGCGGAGGCTTCCAGCGGAGGCTTCAAAACCACTGGCGGCTTCCAGTGGAGGCTTCCCGGTTGATGGGCCCATTTTCCACCACCACTACCATATGTAGGAGGAGGAGGAGGACATCCTCATCCTCCCCTCTCCCACGTCCTACGTATGGTAGTGGTAATGGAACAAGTGCCCATCACCGGTGAAGGCTTCCCGACGAGGGCTTCCCAGACCCCGGTGGAAGCTCCCCGTGTGCGGCGTGGGCCCCCGAAGCGCCTTCGATCCAATGCGTGGGGCCAGCGTTCGGCCGCGGGCCGCTCTCTGTCGATGGCCCCCCCGGCTCCGAGACGAGCACCCAGAGGCTAAGGCTTGGGCCTCTCCTGGGAGGACTGGGAGGAGGAGGAGGAGGAGGAGGAACAGGAATAGGAACAGGAAGAAGAGGAGGAGGAAGAAGAGGAGGAGGCGGAGGCGGAGGCGGAGGAGGAGGAGGAGGAGGAGGAGGAGGAGGAGGGGCAGGAGGAGGTGGAGGAGGATCGATCTGGGCTCTCTCAAAACTTGTCCTCGGACCTCTGCTGGGATGCAGTCTTGCCAGAACGTCTCTGGGAGTCCCGCCGTCGCCGCAGGCGGCAGGAGCACCCGACGGGAAGCCCGGAAAGGATCCAAAAAAGTAAAGGTCCACGAACCTCGATGTCCACGAACCTCGATGATTTGGAAGTTCGCCGAGATCTCGAGGGATCTCGGGAGAGCTCCAGCGCAGGGGGGAGGAGGAGGAGGAGGAGGAGGAGGAGGAGGAGGAGGAGGAGGAGGAGGAGGAGGAGGAGGAGGAGGAGCAGGAGGAGGAGGAGGAGGAGGAGGAGGAAGCAGGAGGAGCAGGAGGAGGGAGGAGGAAGGAGGGAGGAGGAGGAACAGGAGGAGGAGGAGGAGGAGGAGGAGGAGGGACCCCAAAAACCCAAGATGCATCAACGAGGTTGTAGTACGCCCTCCCGTCCGAAGAGTCCCCTTTCAGACCGCCCCGCTCGATGCGAGGACCCCCCCCACTTGGAAGGCCAGCACCTTCAGGAACCTGCTAAACAGGCGGCGAGGACCCCGCGTTGAAAAGGAGCGCCATCCAACAACGGGTGCGAAAAAAGGTTTGCTCGTGCAGCTGGGCGAGGTGTCAGGCGAGATCCCCGCCTCGAGACAGCACCCGCCCCTCGGATCTACCGCCGCACGGGCTTCCACCGTTGCCCACGAGCTCCGAGAGGATGCCTCGGGAGAGAGCCCCGCGCTGACGAGGAGCCGCCGGCTCTCCGCGCGGCCGTTCAATGTGTTGAAGCCTCTCGCCTTTGAAGTTGGGAACGTGTGAAGCGAGAGCACCCTCTTGAAACGAACCCGTCCTCCATCCCTGTCAACTGCTGCAAACTTCTTCAACGAACGCACGTGGCGCTACGGCGAGGGCCCCAGTTTGGAAAGGAAAAGTCTGAAGGTTTGTAAGACGAATGCGCACGGCGCTAAGGCGAGAGCACCGTTTTGAAAACGAAGCACTCAACCCGTGTGTTGCAAGTTTTGTTCTACGAATGTGCGCGGCGCTACGGCTAGAGCTAAGTTTTGAAAACAGGCCGCCCTCCACGATTGTCACGATTGCTAACTCTTACAAAGAATGCGCGCGACGCTACAGTGAGAGTCCCATTGTGAAAAAGGAACCGCCCTCCATCATTACCACGGTTGAAAAGTGTTTCGACCAACATGCGCGGCGCTGAAGCGGGAGCTCCATTTTGAAAACGGCGCGCCCTCCATCATTGAAACTGTTGGGAGATTCACCGCTCAAGATCGTAATTTGTGAAGAGTCATCTGGGGAAACGGCCAGCCCGCCCTACAGACATGTCTGGTGGTCAGACGAGGAGGAGCTACCTACAAGGAAACAAAATGAAAGAGGGAGGACGGAGGAGGGAGGAGGGAGGGAGAACGGAGGAGGGAGCAGGGAGGAAGAAGAGAGATAAAGAGGAAGGGGAGGAAAAGGGGGATGATTTGCCATCGCTCGGACATCCATCACCCGTGCATGTATCGATGTCGTAATTACGTTTTGCTTGTTACAAGATGATCCACGATACTCCTCGATGGTCCTCACCCAGAAAAAGGGGTCCAGCGCCGATCCGAGAAATCTGAGCAGAACTCCAAGTTTTTATGTGTATGTCATTGTTCGTTCCCCTATATACGGAATCCAGGGTCTGGAAGCGTGTGGAACACCAGCTGAGGCTTGGCCATGGATATCACCGCTGCCCCCGTCAGACAGGGGATCCTCCAGGGTGCGAAGCCTCCTGGACGCATTCCTTCACGAACACCCCCCCCGTACTGGCCTCCTCATCCTCCCGATCTGTGTTGACTCCCTCGCGCAGGCGTTGGGTCCTCTCCCAATCCATCAGCGCCTCGGGCGACGCGACGCGGGCGACGCGAGCGGCGTCAGGGCGGGGCAAGCACACCACGGCGGAGCTCCGCTCTGCACCCGCGCAGGCCGAAGCGGATGACACTACGGCCACGCGGCCTGGCTCCCCCCCGCACTCCAGCAAAGGACCCCAGTCAGCCTTCATCTCAATCGACCTCCGCCTCCTCCTCCTCCTCCTCCTCCTCCTCCGCCTTCTCCGCCTCCTCCGCCTCCTCCTCCTCCTTCTCCTCCTCCTCCTCCTCCTCCTCCTCCGCCTGCCCGACGGCACGGCCGATGGTGGCCGTTCCCGACATTTGGGTCAGGGAAACAGCCCGCGGCGTCGCCTCGAACGCTGCGTCCTCAGACCCGGGTGGGCTGGGCCCAGGCTCGGACGAGAGGCCCCGTGCGACTTTCAGCGCCGAAGCCGCGTACAGTCATCGGCCTGACCTAAGGAACGAGAAATAAGGAACGAAGCCACTCCCTCCTCTTCCTTCTCCTCATCCTTCTCCTCCCCCTCCTTCTCCTCCCTCCCCCTCCTTCTCCTCCTCCTCCTCCTCCTCCTCCCCCTCCTCCTCCTCCCCCTCCTCCTCGCCTCATCCTCCTCCTCCTCATCTTCCACGGCCTCCGTCTCCGCCCACTTCGTCGCCGACGTCGTGGTTCTCTTCAGGGTCGGCGGCACCGGCCGTCAGGCCTTCGCAATAAGGAACGAAGCCCCTTTCTCCCAGGCAGTAACGCATAAGGAAAGATAAATCACAAGTAACGCCTAAGGAACGATAAGCAACGCATGCAAATCGAAGGAACGACCGAGCCCCTCTTGAAAAGCAAGCGTTCCTCATTCAAGCCGCTCACTGCACAGCTTGCAGAAGAGAAGATCGGGGAGCAGCTCCCGACTCAGCCTGCACGGAAGCCTGGACCACCGAATGTCCACGGAGGGTCCACGGTACCCCGGCTGATGCAGTGGAGCCCTGAGGAGGAGCGGAAGGCGGAAGCGGAGCGAGGGAGGACCCCGACGCCCCCACGGTGCCCGGACCCCGCTGGAACGGTTGCGCCCCTGCCTCCTCGCATGCCTCTAAAATGGCCTTGGGGTATTCATCGTCGAATTGGATGCCAGCGGTACCAGCAATGCCATCCGAATCAGGCTGCTCCAAGGCTCCGAAAGCAGCCTGGGCTCGGCCATGCCACGTAGCACAGTCTCTCGCAATCCGCTCGCATCCTGAAACGATCAAAGGCAACTGCTCCGGGATCCCCCAGATCAAGACACATTTCTTAGCATACTTGTCGGCCATCCTACTTCCACGGACAATCCACACATCGTGGTCGGTCAATGCCCCCGATTCGGAAGTGTGGGATTGCACTTTGTGAACTTGGGCCTAACGGCCAGTGCCGGACCACTATTCCCTCCAGAGGTACTGCCTGAGACTGTCATGGATCAAGGATTCACCAGCGTCGGTGGCGTAACTGGCGGTCTCCACGCAGTCGAAAAATACCTTTAGGGGGTTCCAAGGGAGGAAGAAGAGGATGAGGGGGTAAGACTTCTTGACCAGCGCGAGTGTGCACAGACGAAGTTGGGCAACTCACTTTTGCGCACCACCATTCACCTTGTACGAAACATGGACCCATGGTATTCCAGCACCCACAGGGGGGCATCCGCGGCAAACCGCATTCAAAATGCACCCAGCCGGTAGCATCTACATCAGCTCAGAGGCTGATTGGGCACCCTGGGGTCCAGGCACGCATGATTAATTAGTACGAGTCTGTGCTCATGTCTTTCAGCCCACGACCCCCTCGGCGGTGCATCTTGATGCAATGCCAACAACCGTAGCTGCCATACACAGGAGTAGACGATGCATGAACTCGCTGCCTCATGGAGGGCTCGGGGGTGTGGGGCAGGATGGTCTTTGGAGCCGGGCGCAACCCAAGTCTTGTACCTCCCAGTTGTGTGCACTGTTTGCAGCTAGCGTGCTTCCGAAGACTCGGACAAGACTCCAAGAGCTGCATCGTGACTCCACGGTGCTCCTTGTTTTGCCAGCTGCCTGAGACAGAAAAGAACTCTGGTGTTCTGCCAGCGGTGAAGCTGCCCTGAGATGGCTTGTGCGTTTGGAATTTGGACCCTTGCGACGACGACCTGGAAGTACCGCCCGGCCTTCGTAAGTTCGAGGCCCCTTGGGATCCGTCGTCGTGACCCTCGGCTCTGCGAGCTCAGTCAGTCCTCCGCGTCGCGTCACCAAAAGTCTCGGCAGGACGGGCCAGGCGGTTCACCTGATACTTCCGTACCGCTCATGATGATGCAATTTGAAGCTCGCAGCAGCTGCGAGGATGAAGGCGGGCTGCTTTCAAAATGCGTCTTTCCCCTCAGCGCCTCGCTTTTTTTTTTCGCCAGCAAGGTTAGCAACAGCTCCGAGGACGGATGGCGACCCCTGCTCAAAATATGGCCACCACCCCCGGTGCCGCTCACGTTCGCCGTACAGGCAACACACAGGTAACTACAGGGATGGAGGGCGGCTCTTTTTCCCAGAACGGGACTCTCGCTCGAGCTTTCCTGCACAGGACGATCAGGAGCGCAGAGCTGCAGAACGGCCTCACCGGTGGAGGGGGCATCCTCTTCGAAGTGGGCATCCTCGCTCGAGGCGTCGTCAAAAGCATTGCGCCCAGGAGCTCTGCGTGTGCAACAGCAGCACGACTGGCGGCCAGCGCGGTTTCAACACCGGGCTCTCGCGTGTCGTGCCGATGCAGCTTGCTGATCCTACCTCTACGCGTTACTTCGAGGGGTGCAGAGCAAGATGTTCTCAAGACGGTGCGATTCCCGTGTTCAACACGGTGTTACCCCCTTCGCTGCAGTTCCATGGGGCGCTCATCCTGCCAGGGGGGGCGCCTCCCGACTTTGCGGGGGGAAGCTTCTGGGGACGCACGAGAAGGAGGGTGTGTTGCAGCATGGTTGGCGCACCCTAGATTTACTCCGATCCTTCTGCTCCTCCTCATCCTACTCTTCCCTTCGTATCCTCCTCCTCCTCCTCCTCCTCCTCCTCCTCTTCCTCCTCCTCTCCTCCTCCTCCTCCCTCTCCTCTCCTCCTCCTCCTCCTCCTCCTCCTCCTCCTCTATTCCTCCTTCATCCTCTCTAGTTCATATCCCCTCCAATTGTTCCTCCTCCTCCTCCTCCGCCTCGTCATCATCATCCTCTGCATCCTCCTATGCAGTGGCAGTGATAGCATTAGATCCGAGATTGGAGCTGCCATGTCCTCGCCCTTCTCTTCCTCCTCCTCCTCCTCCTCCTCCTCCTCCTCCTCCTCCCCCCTCCTCCATCCTCTTCCCCTCTTTCCTCCTCCTCCTCCTCCTCCTCCTCCTCCTCCTCCTCCGCTTCTTGTCCTTATGAATAACTCCTCCCGGTCGCACCCCGAGGCCAGTCGGAAGGGCGGCCAGGACGTTTCGCCTGAGACTGCCTTACCATTTGTACGCCTGAAGCTTAGAAACTGACAACAGGTTCAGAGATGGAGGGCAGGAAGTTCTCAAAATGTGGGTCTCGCCTCAGCGCCGCGCGCACTCGTCTTCAACCGTTGCAAAGTTTCACAAATTGAAGGCGGGTCGTTTTCAATATGTGGCTCTCGCCGTAGCGCCGCACACATTCGTTTCAAACATGTGCAAAAGTGTCACGGAGTAAGGGTGGTTCCTTTTCAAAGTGTGTCTCTCGCTTGAGCGCCACGCACACTCGTTCGAAAAGTCGCAAGAGATTGACGAATTCTCATGGCTAATATACAAGACGTAGTGTTTGGAAACGATTCAATCTTGTGAGGGCGCAACAGTGACGTTAACTCGCGGTGCTGAAGTCCCAGGAATGGCGTTCTGACACGATTCAGGATCGTCGAAACGCAACAGTCAAGTGTACACGTGGCGTCGAAGTTGTGAGAATTGTGTTCTGGCACCCTGCGGGATTTTCACACGGTTGTCTCCCAACTTTCCCTCTGTGGGAACGAACCCTTGTATGGGGCCTATGGAGAGGCAGCTTGGAGAGAGGGTGCATTCCATCATCGTTGATGAGTCTTGGGTTTACAATGGTCCTCCTCCTCCTCCTCCTCCTCCTCCTCCTCCTCCTCCTCCTCCTCCTCCTCCTCCTCCTCCTCCTCCCACTCCCCCCCATGCTTCCTGACCGCACTGTCCTGCCTTCCCCCCCCTTCCTCCTGCCGCAGCAGCAAGGGCGCGCACCTGCGGCCTTGGGGCCCGCTGGGGTGACGGGCACCTCGGGCCGGGAAAAGGAGGGGGGGGCGGAGCCCCCACCACCAGAACCATAACCCACGTGCTTAATGTCAAAACGTTCCTTACCAGCCCGGAACATATCCCTATCCCTAAGCTGGGCATCGCCTCAACACAATGACATTCTTAGGGGGTCCCTTAGTTTTTCAGGGCGCATCCTTAAGATTGTCATCGCCTTTTGGCGTGTCAATCTTAGGGATAGGGATACGTTCGAGGCTGGTGAGTTCCCTGAGATCCAGGCGGCTTACGTAGGATCAAGACGGCCGGTTTGGGGAAACAGAACTGCCTCTGGAAGTCGTTTCCTGGGGAATCGACGATTCATTGTGTCTGTGTGTTTCTTTCCCTCCTGAATACCCCACGTGCTGAATGTCAAAACGTTCCCTGAGATCCAGGCGGCTTACGTGGGATCACGACGGCCGG